ATGGGGGGGAATGGGGGGTTGGGGGCGTGGTTTGTATGGGAGGGGGCGTGGCTTGGGTGGGTGGGGCCGGGTGTGGTCATCAGGGGGAAAATTTGGGGAAAAAATGGGGGGAAATGGGTAAAAAATGGGGAATTTGGGGTAAAAATAGGGGGAAATATGGGGGGAAATGGGGGTTTGGGGGCGTGGCTTTAGTGGGAGGGGCGTGGCTTGGTGGGGCGGGGCCAGGGCGGTGTCGCCAGGGGAGAAATGTGGGAAAAACAGGGGAAAAAGGATAAAAAATTAGGAAATTTGGGCAAAAAATGGGGGAAATATGGGGGGAAATGGGGGTTTGGGGGCGTGGCTTTGGTGGGAGGGGGCGTGGCTTGTGTGGGTGGGGCCGGGTGTGGTCACCAGGGGGAAATTTGGGGGAAAAAAGGGGAAATTGGGGCAAAAAATGGGGGAAATTGGCGGGAAATTGAGGTTTGGGGGGCGTGGTTTGAATATGGCGATGTGGGCGTGGCCTCTGCTCTGTGTATGCTAATGAGATCACGCCACATATGGCAATGTGGGCGTGGCCACTGTGCCATATATGCTAATGAAGTGTACTCACTCCATATATGGCAATGTGGGGCGGTCTCAATTGTATGTATGCTAATGAGGGTTATTGCATATATGGCAATGTGGGCGTGGTCTTTGATCCATATATGCTAATGAGCTGTACTCCGTATATGGCAATGTGGGCGTGGCCAGTGTGCCATATATGCTAATGAGGGTTACTCAGTCCATATATGGCAATGTGGGTGTGTGCTGTGATTAATATATGCTAATGAGGGTTACTCCAAATATGGTGATGTGGGTGTGTCCTCTGAATAATATATGCTAATGAGGGTTACTCCAAATATGGTGATGTGGGTGTGTCCTCTGAATAATATATGCTAATGAGGGTTACTCAGTCCATATATGGCAATGTGGGCGTGGTCTTTGTTCCATTGTATGCTAATGAGGGTTACTCCTTATATGGTGATGTGGGTGTGGCCTCTGCTCAATGTATGCTAATGAGGGTTACTCCATATATGGCAATGTGGGCGGGGTCTTTGCGCCATATATGCAAATGAGGGTTGCTCCACCTGACCACGCCCCCTTTGGCCCCTCCCCCTTTAGCTCCGCCCTCCAGGGGGCGTCGTCGCACAAGGTCGTGGGGGGGGAGGGGCACCCCCTGCTGAGGCGCTACTACCAGTGCCGGGTGAGACTGGGGATACTGGTTTGTACTGGGAGGGGGGGGGAGGGACTGGGGGGGAACTGGGATGGAACTGGGAGGGACGGGGGGGGAACTGGGAAGGACTGGAAGGGACTGGGAGTGACTGGGAGG